TCGACCGGAGTTGTGGAAACTGTGGGCCTGGCCTCTGAGGGGGCCCGGCTCAAAGAATCCGGTCTCTCGACTGAGGTCGTTGAGACCATTCTCCATTCCAGAGCCCCTTCCACGAGAAGACGCACTGAAATGGAAATTATTCTCCACCTGGTGTGGTGTACGTCATTTAGATCCTGTTGACGGCCCTGTTGGCTCAGTTCTCGATTTTTTGCAAGACCGTTTTGTAACACTCTTGTTTTGATCACATATTAAATGAAGGGGATCCATTCTTCCAAGAGTAGAGTTCAGTTCAGTTCAGTTCAGTTTAGTTTATTGTCATTGTTATCCCAAAGGACAGCAACGAAATTGTGTTCGGAGCATATAACAACCGTACATGGTATCTTAAAGTGCACTAATAAATAAATAATAATAAATAAATAAATATCCCCCGTGTAAACATGACCCATCAAAGTATATAATAGCAGCAAAAGGTTTACAAAACAAGAGACAACCAAAAACAGAGAGTATGATCAGAGGTGGATATGGATGGGGTAATGCAGCAATGCAAAGTCCAGTTCACAGATATTTCACAGAGAGGTATGATTTACTGTCCATGAGAGGAGGAGAGGGGGAGGGGGATGGGGGCAGTGAGGAAAATATCAATTAAGCAGGATGGATATGGTTAATGCAGCAATGCAAAGTCCAGTTCATAGTTATTTTACGATGAGATATAGTTTACTGTCCATTGGAAGGAAGTGGGGAGGGTAGGGAGAGAGTGGGAAGGGCATCATTAAGCAGCCTTACTGCGTAAGGGTACAGGCTGTTAGCCAGTCTGGTTTTACTGGCACCAATAGACCTGTACCTTCTTCCTGATGGCAGCAGACGGAACAAATGATGGGCCGGGTGATGCCGGTCCCGCAAGATGCGCTTTACTCTCTTCAAACAACGGCTATCATAGATGTTACTAATATTCGGGAGAGTGGTCCCAATGATTTTTCCAGCTGTATTTACCACTCGTTGGAGTGCCTGCTGATGGGCCTTAGTGCAGCTGGAATACCACACTAAGAATCCATATGTCAAAACACTGCTGATGGCACAGTTGTAAAAGTTTACCATCAGCTGTTTAGGAATCCTGGCATTCCTCAGTTGCCTCAGATAGTAGAGGCGTTGCTGAGCCTTCCCTATCACAGAGATGATGTTGGTTCCCCAGGACAGGTCCTCATTCACCGTTACTCCCAGGAATTTGAAAAATGGCACCCTCTCCACCACTTCATTTCCTATGTAGAGAGGGGAGTGATTGGGTCTGCATTTGCGAAAATCCACGATAATCTCCTTTATCGGACAGATTATTCTTGACACACCATGACGCTAGATGTTGCACTTCAGTCCGATAATCTGCCTCATTGTTGTTGTTAATAAATCCCAGCACTGTTGTATCATCTGCAAATTTAACAATGAGGTTGGAGCAGAGAGAAGCAGAGCAGTCATGTGTAAAAAGAGTGTAGAGCAAAGGGCTAAGCACACACCCTTGGGGGGCCCCGGTGTTGATTGATAGGGTGGAGGACAAGTGCTTGCCTACTCTAACCCTCTGTGTTCGATCTGTCAGAAAATCCACAATCCAATTGCACAGCGAGTTGTTGAAGCCAAGGTGGTGCAGTTTGGCTCGGAGTTTAAACGGCCGGATTGTATTAAAGGCAGAGCTAAAGTCGACGAAGAGGAGTCTTGCGTAGGTGTTCTTGTGCTCAAGATGTTCCAGTAACATGTGAAGCACGATGGCGATGGCGTCCTCAGTCGACCGATTTCGCCTGTAAGCAAATTGGTGTGGATCAAGTGATGATGGTATTACACTTTTAATGTGAGTGATGACCAGCCTCTCAAGACACTTAGCAGGAATGGAAGTGAGTGCTACCGGTCTATAGTCATTTAAAAGGCTGGCATTTGACTGCTTGGGGACTGGGACTATTGTGGCTGCCTTAAAGCAGGCAGGAACCCATGAAGTGGATAGCGAGGTGTTATAAATTCCAGTGAAGACGTCAGTTAACTCCGCAGCACAGTCTCTCAGCACACGGCCCAGCACACCGTCCGGTCCGGCTGCCTTCCTGATGTTAATGCTGCAGAGAGCCCGTCTTACTTCATGGTTGCTCAGGACTGGTGCACGGTCAATAGACAGGAGGGGGGGCAGCACTGGATCAGTGTTTTCCCTGTCATAACGGGCATAAAAGAGATTAAAATCCTCAGCTGAGATGTAATCAGCAGAGGGAGATGTTAATTTACTCTTATAATCCGTGATAGCTCTAATGCCCTCCCATACCTGCCTGGGATCTGCAGAGTTATTAAAACAGGCTTCAATACGCCTCCGGTGTTGTTGTTTGGCAGTGTTGATTCCTTTCCTTAATGCAGCCCTGGCTTTGCTGTATAAGTCATGATCTTTAGAACCCAGCGCTCTATTCCTAGCCCGGATCAGTTGTTCAACTTCGTGTGTAATCCACGGTTTCCTGTTGAGATACACACGGAAATGTTTCCAAGATGTAACATTGTCCACACAGAAGTTAATGTAACACAGGACAGTGGAGGTGTATTCATCCAGTGACTCACGAGTGTCCGTACCCTGCCCCTTGAAAACATCCCAATCTGTGTGGTGGAAACAGTCCTGTAACATAGGGATAGCGTCCTCTGAAAACATTCTCACTGTCTTGGTTGTGATCCCAGTGCTCTTGATCTTGGGTGTGTACCGTGAGTGTAGCAACAGAGAGAGATGGTCTGACAGACCCAGGTGGGGGTAGGCCTGGGCCCTGTATGCTTCTGCTACATTAGTATACACCTGGTCCAGCGTTTTATCTCCCCTCGTAGCACATTTCACATTGCGATGGAATTTGTGAAGAACAGTTTTTAAGTCAGCATGATTAAAATCCCCAGCGGCGACAAAAACACTGTCCGGGTGTGCTACCAAGCTGTTGTTAATGCTGTTGGAAATCTGTGCGAGCGCTAGCTTAGCATTAGCGTCCGGTGGAATGTAAACAGCACAGATATAAACAGCAGTGAATTCCCTCGGAAGATAAAACGGTCTGCACTTCAGCAGCATAAGTTCCACCTCTGGACTGCATAGTCTGTTCATAATGGTGATATTTGTGCACCAAGAGTTGTTAATATAGATACACAGTCCCCCGCCGATCTTCTTACCAGAGTCTGCGGTCCTGTCGGCTCGGTAGGTGGTGCGTCCCGCTAACTCGATGGCAGCATCCGGAGTGGTGTTGTTCAGCCAAGTTTCAGTAAAAATCATGCAACAACAGTTATAAATAGTCCTCTTTGCTGCTATATGCAACCGGATCTCATCCATCTTGTTACGGATCGACCGGGCGTTTGAGAGGAAGATTGTAGGGAGCGGTGGTTTAAACGGATTAGCCTTTAGCCTAGTCCATGCGCCCCCTCGCTTACCCCTCTTCTGCCGCCGCTCACAGCGCCTTCTTCGTCGGCCTGCTCCTGCGGGGAGCCCGGTAGATGGTCTGGTGATCTCGAGAGGAATGAAGTGCTCGGTTAACAGGTGTTGTACTCCAGTGTTCAAGTTCAAAAGTTCAGTGCGGCTGTACTGAAGTGCCGCTGTACTTAAAAAGTGCGACGTAATACACAATAACACCAGAAAAGTGAAAAAAACATGCACGTTTGTGGAGCTCCTGGCCGCTGCGACTGTGCGCGCCGCCATCTTGCCAGTTAAGTGTATTTATATTTTTGTGAGAAAACCCAAACTATATAGATATATACACAACAGCAATATTGTCAGCAAATCATCGCATCCAAAGAAAAAGAAAATCATCACTTCATTATGTCAGAACATTTCAGTTCACCACATGTTTGAGTCCAGGCAGAAATATAGTCAATTTCTCACCACACCACAAGCAGTTCAGGTTAGAAGCGAGCATTTCCAATAATCCAAAAGTTCATCAGAAGTCCTGGAGTAGAAGTCCAACAAAAAGTGTTTCAAATCATGACCAGAACCAGTCCGTGTAATCAACAAAGGTGTAGAATCAGAGCACAACATAGTCCAGATGAAGCGTTCATATTGAATGAAGCCAAAAGAGAACCCTCTAAACAAATAGGCAAATACAAATCAAAATATGCAATTTACACAAATAATAAACATAGAACTACAAAATATATACAACTTACATTGAGCTGTTGAACCAAAAAGATTCCTCATAATAGGGTTACTTGCATACGGCTCAGTTGAGCAAACACTCAAAGCCATGCCAGTACCCCTCTAAACACTCTTACTTGTCTCTCTTAAAAGGATAGCCCTTCCCAAAGAAACCTCCATAGCTCCCCCCATAGCTCCCCCTTGAGGTGGGGAGTAGAATTACAGCACAAGAAATAGAACATTCTTTCAGAACTGTTACAGTTTCTCTGCTAGATTATCTCCTTCCACCCTAAAGGTTTACGTGGCGGCTATATCTGCCTACCACACCCACCCCTATGGGGGGTATTTCTATTGGGAGAGATCCTCTTATTACTCGTTTTCTCCATGGTACATTGAGGTTGAGACCTGCACTGCACTCTAGAGCAACAGCCTGGGATTTAGCTGTTGTACTTGAAGGTCTGGCTTTGGCTCCCTTTGAGCCCATTGAAGAGGTTTCAGAAAAATTCCTCACTCTAAAGACTCTTTTTCTCCTTGCTATTACTTCTATCAAAACAATTGGAGATCTACATGCCCTGTCGGTTGCTCCCTCATTTCTGGAATTTGCACCTGGTGTGGTGAAAGCATTTCTTTACCCTAGCCCGGGTTATATTCCTAAGGTCCCAGTTAATGTTGGGGGCCCAATAGTGCTGCAGGCCTTTTATCCTCCACCTTTCAATACCCCAGATCAGGAACGACTGAACCTGTTATGTCCAGTTCGGGCACCACAGAATGAATGTAGAGGAAACACTGAGTTGTGTCCTTTATCTTAAATCTCTAAATTACCACATTGTTGATTCACATTTGGGTGAAAAAGAGAATAAAAAACATTTAAGTAGCTACTGTACGGCACCTGGAATGAAGGTGTCCTTGCGGCAGTCATACAGCATACCAGGATACAGAGGTCTTCCTAGAGCTGCCACATCAATGGTCTGTGATGCCATGCCTGCAAGAAATAACAATGAACAATGGGGATATTTATACATTTGAAGATTGATAATGACTACTTTATCATTCTAAAATTATTTTTACTTGTTACTGCTGCTGCTGTTGCTGTTAAGTAAAATGCTGTTATACTAAAATATCACTATCGTCTGTGAAGTGTAGCAGAACAACATCCTGCCTGTCCTTGTTTCAGACTCTCATCCACAGATGCTTTTTCTGCCGTGGAATGAGGTGTTTTTACGGTTTGAAAAATATAAGCAGCACAGCATTATGGTTCATGTGCTTGTCGTCTCCTCATGACCACAAATAGACATTAAAACAAAGAAAATAAGCAATGTATGATAATTCAATGTGCAAACGGCAAAAAATTCTGTAAATCCGTGCAGTGTGTCTAAAAATCAATTCAGTGAGATAAAAACGCGCACTTCAATCCGATCACTTTATTTATTGTTCATGTAAAAAAAAAAAAAATACCTGTGGTGAAATTACATATGCATCTTAGGGATGGCCCGATACCATTTTTTTTTTTAAACCGATACGAGTACGAGTATTTACATTTGTGTACTTGCCGATACCGATATTTCAAAAGTAACTATAGGCTCACAGAAAAGACGGCAGAAGACTATTTTAGAACACAGGTTAGAAGACTGTTTTTATTTTCTTCTCTGCTTGTTTTAACAAGTCTAAAAGTAAATAATAATGAGTAAAATATTTATTATTTTACTCATTATTATTTACTTTTAGACATTTATGTAACACACAAACCACTGTTAATTTAACATAAAAGCAAGCAGGCGACTGTGTGCATGGTCTGGCATGACTGAATGCGCGCAAAGTGCACTCACTTAGCCTAATTCCTAAAAGCTGACAGTTCATCGCGATCTCACACATCTCTGTTATTATCAATAAAGCTGACTGCACAATGAATCTTTCATAATATCCACACTTTGTTTGATATAATCAGAGGATTTGCCAGCATACAGAATTCAGCACTAAACAAAAAAGTTTTGAGTGGTGAGGGAAGTCTACAGTATCTTAAATGCTTCTGATTGGCCATTGCGTTCAAGAACTCAACACATATGTCTGTGATTGGCTACATCGCTCAACGCTGCAAACATGTTATGAATAGAAACTCCGGCCTATAAATCGTTTCTATTTTGTTTTAGTTGTTCTTGTTGCTTTTCTGCAACAGATGAATAAACATCTATCAGTTTGTATATGTTTTATTCATAGATATTTCTAGTTCGCGGGAGTCCCGCGAATCGTTTTATTCTCCCGCGAATCGTTTTATTCTCCCGCGAATCGTTTTATTCTCCCGTAACCCGCACACACGAGTGAGTGCATTACTGCCCGCGCTCGCACTCGGCCATCAGATCTAGCGCCGCGCCGCACTCTATTGCGTTGGGAGTGCACGTCCCTATGCCTCAGTTCACCTCGACAAAGTACTCGCGACGGCCAGTTTCGTTTCGCAAAATGTACGTGGTGGTATCGGCGAATTTTTATGAGTACGACGAGTATATGAGGACAGTATCGACCCGATGCCAGTATCGGTATCGGGCCATCCCTAATGCATCTGATTAGTCTAAAGACATATTTTTGTTCCTAACCCATGTTGAGTCTTCCTGCAATACTGTTGAGATTTAAACTCCTCATAATCCGCAGCCGGCTGTTACGTCGCATGTGAGAAGTGTCTTGTGTTTGGTCCGGGTATCGTTCGTTCATTTGTTTTTGCTTTCATATATGAAAACGAAAAAACGAGAAAACAACTCCTTGACTTGATTTTTGGTTTTCTCGTTTTTGCACGGCAATCAGAGAAACCACTTGATATTCCGATTTTCCCCTGTGGGTGGGGCTAAATCTGATTGGCATGAAATGCATTCATTGTTTTTTAAATTAAGAGTTTTCCAAACACTGTATTTTTTAGCCTGTAAAATTAATAGTCTATATGCACGTGTGATTAATCCTTGATTTTCTTCTTTACCACTCATTTATAAACAAGCACTTTCTATTTTATATCATGGGAACTTATCCTCGATACTATTCCTTATAAAAAACAATCGGATTGCTTTGATATCGCTACTTAGATCCAACTTTGCGAATCTCGGCTACTAGCCTTTAGTCCGCTAGCATTTCACGCGTGGCCTCGCGCCTACCGACCGACTCATTTTACACCCGTTTCACTGAAAGGATACAGGTTATATCCGGCATTTCAGTCCTAAATTAGTAGTGATATTGGTAGTATCACTACTAATTTACTGTTCATCTGTTATGGCGAACATATCAGATGTGTGTCTAACGTTACCTCTGAGTGCAGGTGAGGACACATTCGAGCTGATTTCGGTACGATTGGAGCTGGAATCGGTGGAGAAACAGATCCGTGGTCTGCTGGAGAAACAAGCCGAGCTGCGGGATCGGCGATCAGCGCTTGAAACGTCACGCGCCGATGCACATAAGTCAGTGGTTAGTAACTTTTTGACTCCGACTTCGTCTACTCCGTGCGTTTCTCTGCCCAGGAGGACGCGATCATCTCTGGCATCATTCACTCCGGCACCGACCCAACACCATGGACCCTGGGTGATCCCACAGCAGAAGACGCGAGCCAGGACCAGAGCAAGAACCTCTCCGCCCCTCCCGGTCTTCGAGATCTCCACCCGGAACCGCTTCTCCCCCCTTCGCGAGTCGGAACGCAACGACGCCGTGATCATCGGCACTTCCATGGTCCGTCATGTCCGTGCTACCTCAGGTAAGGGTAAGGTGCGCACTCACTGCTTTCCTGGTGCTCGTGTTCTTGATGTCGCCGCACAGGTTCCCGAGATCCTGAACGGTGACGAGCGCGTCGGAGCTGTGGTGCTACACGCGGGAACGAACGATATCAGGCTGCGGCAGACGGAGGTTCTGAAGAAAGACTACAGGAGCCTGATCGAGACGGTACGCAGCACAGGGCCTGAGGCAACGATCATCGTGTCTGGACCGCTTCCCACGTACCGACAAGGACAGGAAAGGTTCAGTAGATTATTTGCACTAAATAAATGGTTAATGTCATTGTGTAATGAACAAAAACTGCTCTTTGTAAATAATTGGAATCTGTTCTGGGAGCGACCTAGGCTCTACTGTGCTGATGGCCTGCACCCCAGCAGATTCGGAGCGGCTGTTCTGTCGGACAACATCTCCAAGACGTTACACACCGTATGACTAGAAAATCAAATTCCAAATCACAGTCTTAGCTGTGCCAATATAGAAACTGTGTCTATTCCTCGTTTAGTGAGGCCAAATAATAAATCCCCTGTAGGATCTAGGAAAAATCTTATTGTAATTAAACCTGAAAATCTAAATATCAGTGAACAAAAACAATTTCTAAAACTAGGTCTCCTAAACATTAGATCGCTCACACCTAAGGCGGTTATTGTAAATGAAATGGTCACAGATAATAGCTTCGATGTACTTTGCGTTACTGAAACCTGGCTTAAACCAAACGAGTGTTTCGGTCTAAATGAGTCCACTCTGCCAGGATACTGTTATAAGCATGAGCCCCGTCTGATCGGTCGTGGCGGCGGTGTTGCAACAATCTATAGAGATATTTCTAAATGTTACTCAGGAAACAGGTCACAGGTTTAATTCATTTGAAGTACTTGTGCTAAACGTTACGCTCTTAGATGTAAGAAAGAAATCCCTATTATCTCTAGCCTTGGCCACTGTATATAGACCTCCATGACCTTACGCTGATTTCCTTAAAGAGTTTGCAGACTTTCTCTCAGATCTATTGGTCAATACCGATAAAGCAATAATTGTTGGAGATTTTAACATACACGTAGATAAAACAAATGATGCGTTAGGGACTGCGTTTACAGATTTATTAAACTCCTTTGGGGTCAAGCAAAACGTCAGTGGTCCCACTCATCGTCTAAATCATACACTAGACTTAATTATATCATATGGAACCAATCTAACCGATATAGATATTATACCGCAAAGTGACGATCTCACCGATCATCACATGGTAACTTGTATAATACGTACTGCTGAAATTTGTCATGTTGCGCCGCGTTATCGACCAGGCAGAACAATCCTTCCGACCACTATAGATAGATTCTCAAATAGCTTACCTGATCTATCTCAGCTGCTCAGTGAACCCAAACAAACAGATGAGCTAGAGGAAATGACTAGCAGTTTGAGCACCATTTACTCTAGTACATTAGATATTGTTGCACCAATTAGATCAAAAAAGGTTAGAGAGAAAACTAAAGCACCATGGTACAACAGTGCTACGCATGCTATCAAGAGAGAAACTCGTAACCTAGAGCGTAAATGGAAACAAACTAATTTAGAGGTCTTTAGAATCGCGTGGAAAGACAGTATGTCACGTTATAAAAAGGCTCTAAAAGCAGCCAGGGCAGAGCATCTCCGCAAACTAATAGAAAATAACCAAAATAATCCAAGGTTTTTATTTAACACCGTGGCTAGACTAACAAATAAACAGACATCACCAGAGCAAAATATTCCGTTACAGTATAGTTGTAATGATTTTATGAATTACTTCAATGATAAAATAGAAAGCATCAGAAACACAATTGTAAATGTACAATCCTCTATGGTGTCTTATGATTCAGCCTCAACTATGGCCCCTCTGGAACAACTACACCGCTTTACAACTAAAGGACAGGAAGAGCTAAATAAACTTATCATTGCATCTAAACCAACTACATGTTTATTAGATCCAATACCAACTAAATTTCTGAAAGAAGTGTTACCTGTAGTGGAAGAGCCTCTTCTTAATATTATTAACTCTTCTTTATCTTTAGGTCATGTTCCAAAAATATTCAAGCTCGCAGTAATAAAACCTCTCATTAAGAAACCCCAATTAGATCCAAATAACTTAGCAAATTACAGACCCATTTCAATTGTGCTCTTTCTTGCAAGAAAATGAGATATATGAAAAATTTGAGTCAGGATTCAGACCGCATCATAGCACAGAAACTGTGCTAGTTAAAATTACAAATGA